CCTTTCGCCCCCGGGCTGCCCCCGCCGCCGGGAAGGGCCGAGCGGAGCCGCGCGGCGCGGGTGGGTGAGCGCAGGCAGCCCCCGAGGCTCTGGGGGTCCCGCCTGCCCTGCCCTGCAGGTGTGAGGCCGGGCCGAGCCGGCCCCGCGCGGGTGTCCAGGCTGCTAAGACCACGTCCATTCCCGGTGCGAGTCCTGCTCAAGCGCCTGGGCCGCCCCAGCAAAGCCATCGCCCTCTCGGCCTCGCTCGCCCGCCTCGCCGCCCTGGGCTTGTGCCTGGCCCGACTCCAGAGCTGGACTTGGGCCTCGCGCGCCTTGCACACGCGGCCCGGTCTCTGCCAGGGTGCAGATTGTGTCCTGAGATTTAATGTCTGTAAAGTGCTTTTTTGAAGATTGAAAGTCAGACGTGAGAGTCGGATACTCCTGCGTGACCGTGACCGACAACCTTCCCCGCGAGGTGGATGTACAAAGGGCTGTGAGCTCCCCTCCAGGGACGACTGTATACCTCCAGGCGTGTGCCACCAGGGATATTTGCCCACAACCCCTGAACAGAAGCCCTCCTCATTCTATGTATGACCTAAAAGTGTGCCCCAAATCAGATCGGCTACATTTGTAGCAACTGTAATTGCAACAACAAAATGGCCACGGTAGAAAATGGAAACAAGATTATATAGAAAGAGGCCCTGCATTGAGCAAAATGCTTTAAAGCATGTGCTGACAGTTAAGTACCTGCCGACCTGCACTGGTTAACTGCAGCCTCAGTAATCAGAGCCTCTGCTCCAGATCTGCAGGAGGAAATGCTATAAAAAGAGCCATGCCCAGAGCCATGTATGAAAGCAGAGAATCCTACTCCTTTCACCTCTGCCACATTCACAGGCCCCTACAGCAGCCACCATACCCACCCCAGACTCCATGAGACCTCATGGGGTGGGTTAACAGCCCCCTGGCACAGGGTGATCACAGAATGGGAGAGACAGAAACAGATGTTTTAAACCTGAGTGAGCAGACCATACATCACACCTAGGCCTGAAAGGTTGAGGGTGACTGGAGCATTCAGCCATGCAGGGCACTAGCCTGTTTCACAAGTATCCAGGACAAAATACCTAAGCAGAGGATTTGTGCTCATCACTGATGCCACTGCAGCAATTCCCAAACTTGTCCATGGACCCCAGAGCACTTTCTGCACCTATGGAGAGCGGCACGGTCACGTGGGGATGGCTTCTTGTCCGTGTTCCCTGTTGCATCACATGTAAAAATGCTACAAACTTCACCTTCTTCCCCACGTTGCTTTCCCCAGGGATGCTTTGAGATCTGAAATGAAGGCAATTCTAGACAGAGGATGGGTACTCTGTGCTAAAGGGCAGATGAAGTGTCAGCATGATTACCAATGGCAGAACAGGGGTTCACATGCCAACTTCTCCACTGCTGCTCCTCTGCCAGAATTTGAGAAACCTGGAGCTCCAAGATCTCTCACTTGCAGGCACAAAGAGTCACTGCCTGCAGATGGCACTGTTGCTCCTTACAAAATCAACTGCACATGCTCATTCATATGGTTCAGGGCTTCTCCAGCTTCTCCCGTGACTGTATGTATTGTACATCTGTGTCTGAGTCAGCACGTTAGGTTTACTAGAATCTTTGCACATGTAACTCAGGAGGCTGCTGCCGACCAACTTTTCAAATCTGCCTCCATATTTATGCTTCATTTACATAAATGAGAACTCCTGTTAGAAATTACAGAGCTGAGTGAAGAGGTTAATCATAAAGATCATAGAAGAGTAGGGCTGGCATGGACTTCAGGTCATCTAGCCCAATCCCCTGCTCAAAGCAGGATCATCCCTATGTAAGTATGCCAAAGAGAAAGGCTGTTAACCCCTCAGTTTATTGTTGCAGCTCTGACTTGGAGGCGGCCATCTGTGCATAGAGGCTGTATACCAGGAGAGATGTTTGAACGGTCCTCTTCTGAAAATCAGGGAAGTTAGACCATGACCCTGTACAGACTTAACTAAACATCTCAGTGAGCTCAATGGGGCTATTCACTGATGTCCCCTAAAATTAAATGTGTGCAAGCCTGCAGAACTGATGGGCAATCTCCCACAAAAACTTCAGGTTAGCTGTTCATAGCCCAGCCCCACTGTTGTCAAACTGAAAGTCTGCCTCCCCCAGATTGGCTTGATTAGGAAATTACAAGGAGAGGGCTGCTCATTAAAGACCAGGCTATAAAAGCTGTGGTAGCTGTATCAGTAGATCAAGTATGGTGCTCAAGAAATCTTCTGTAGTAGAAAAAGGTGAGCTTTCTTCTCTTTAGAAAAGTCTTGGTTTTTTTCTTGTTGTTTTACAAATGTTTAAGATTTCCCCTAGGAAAGGAAAAAGAAAACTTCTGTGCTAATTTTGTCTTCTTTTTAAGATCCATTTGAAGGTTTATAGTCTCTCTTTTTTATTTTAAATAGCCATTGTAGTGG